ACAAGCCCAGCATCCTGGTAAGTCTTGGGCTACCGCCTCCTAGCCCCTCCGACTGTCTCTCTTCTCTGTTCCCTTTGAACCCCAGCTGTCTTGATCCAGGCTGCTTTCCCATCCCTGGTGGGACTCGCACCCAGGCCCCTCAGCCTCTCTGTTCTCACCCCAGGTCTTCCTGTCCCCGAAGGGAGAGCCTCTGCCTGCCTCCACTGCTTAGGACCAGCTCCCTGCCCACCCCTTCCCTTGACCCTGCAGCCTTGGCAGTTCAGCCAGCTCCCCCGGCGTTGGCTAGGGGACCTGAGGAGGTGCCTGGCCCTGTTGATTCCCCACCACTGCATTCACTGGAAATGTCTACAGATTCTACCTGCAGAGAATACTGGGATTGTGTTGCAATGATCAGCTAATGTGTTCTCTGTGTTCAAAAGACCGCCGTCATTGTGTGAGGTCTTGCCCGTGTCACTGTACTATAGTTTTGGAGTTTTTAAAAAAAATAGATTTTATATCTTCTGGCAGTTTTCGGCTTACAGAGTAATTGTGCTGAAAGTATTGTGTGGTCAGTCTTTTTCTCAGACAGAGTGCTGTGGGGAAGGTGGCTTATTGCACATATAGGTGGAAATTTAACACCTGATTATTTGATCTCCCTTCTGACACATTTTGAATTTGTTCTAGGTTTTAGTATTTTCTCCTTTCTATCTCTTTTAATTCTATGATTTTGTTTTATTTATAATCATTTCATCTGGGGCTCATACAACTCTTATCACAATCCATCCATCCTTCCATCGTGTCAAGCACATTTGTACATTGTTTCCATCATTCTCAACACATTTTCTTCTACTTGAGCCCTTGGTATCAGCTCATTTCCCCCTCCCTCGCTTACAAACCCTTGATAATTTCTAAATTACTATTATTTTGTCACATCTTACACTGCCAGATGTCTCCCTTCACTCAGTTTTCTGTTGTCCATCCCTCAGGGAGAGGGTTATATGTAGATCATTGTGATTGGTTCTCCTTTTCTCCCCCACCTTTCCCTTCCCTGCCTGGTATTGCCGCTCTCATTATTGGTCCTGAGGGGTTTATGTGTCCTGGATTCCTGTGTTTCCAGCTCTTATCTGTACCAGGGTACATGATCTGGTCTAGCCAGATTTGTAAGGTAGAATTGGGATCACCTTAGTGGAGGAGGGGTGGGGAGGAAACATTAAAGAACTAGAGGAAAGTTGTATGTTTCAATGATACTATACTACACCCTGACTGGCTTGTTTCCTCCCTGTGACACTTCTGTAAGAGGATATCCAGTTCCCTACAGATGGGCTTTCAGTCTCCACTGTGTACTGCCCCTCATTCACAATGATATGATTTTTTGTTCTTTGATGCCTGATACCTGATCCCATCGACACCTCATGATCACACAGGCTAGTGTGTTTCTTCTATGTGGGCTTTGTTGCTTGTCAGCTAGATGGTCACTTGTTTATCTTCAAGCCTTTAAGACCCCAGACGCTATATCTTTTGATAGCCGGGCACCATCAGCTTTCTTCACCACATTTGCTTATGCACCCGCTTTGTCTTCAGCGAGTGTGTTGGGAAGGTGAGCATCATGGAGTGCCAGTTTAATAGAACAAAGTGTTCTTGCATTGAGGGAGTACTTGAGTAGAGGCCCAAAGTCCATCTGCTACCTTAATACTAAACCTATAAATATATGTGTATAACAGATCTATTTCCCCATTGTCATTTATCAATCTATTTACATATGTCCATGCCTGTATTTAGACCTCTATAAATGCCCTTTGCCTCCTAATTCTTTCCTCTATTTCCTTTGACTTTCCTCTTGTCCCACTATCATGTTCAGCCTTCATTTGGGTTTCAGTAATTCCCCTCAGTTACATTACCCTTGATCAAGCCCTACCAGGCCTCATATACCCTCCTCACCATCAATTTTGGATCATTTGTTGTTCCCTTGTCCCTGGGTTTGTTAACACCCACTTCTTTTCCCCTGCCTCCCCGTCTCCCAAGTACCCCTGGAACCATTGGTCCTGTTGTTTTCTCCTCCAGATTATTTATCCCGCCTGTCTTATCTAGATAGACATACAGAGATAACAATATGCACAAAAACAAGACAGAGCAAAACAAAGCAACAAAACAACAACAAAAAATAACTAAAAGGCTTTAAATAGTTCAAGGTCTATTTGTTGACCTTTAGGAATGTTTTTACAGTTGAGTCTGATAGGGTACCATGCCCTGGCCCCACAGTCTATTTTTGGTATTCCCTGGGAACTTCGTTGTTCTGTTCCCTTGCTGTTCTGTTGCACCCCCTTAGTGTTTCACCTCAGTGTGGTGAGGTCAGATCGGGCACAATTCCCGCAGTGTGTCTCCGGGGTTTTCTCCCGTAGCGCTATGGGTCAGTGTAGGATGTCAGTGTCTTGTGGTGGGGCCCTATGGTCCTCTCTGTGGATTGGCTGCTCTAAGCGGGAATATCGTCCTCAGGGCTTGGTGGGCCAGGATGTGCTCCACTTTCTCTCCCTCCCCCTTCGTTTGCTCCTGTGTGCTCTGATCAGACATGTCTCTCTCCCTGAGCTGTAACTTCAGTGCTGTCCTCTGAAGTGAATTCTTCTGCAGGGAGGGGTAGCGGTCCACATAGTTGGGATTGGGGCCGGCCTTTCTGCTTTCTTTTCCACTGAACTTTTCCCTCAGTTTTATTCTTGTTGAGGGGTTTTTGTTTTTCCTTTTGTTTGTATGTTTTTCTGTATAGGGAAATCTATAAAGACAGTAGCTGGATTAATAGTTTTTTAGGGACACAGCAGGGGAAATCGGGAGCTAATAACAATGAGTACCAGAGAGTAGAAATTGTTCTAAAATTGTGGTAATGGTTGCATGACTCTTTTTAGTATGATTGAACTATTTAAATGCATTGCATGTGCAATGCAGGTCAATAAAACTGTTTAATTTTTTAAAATATGAAAGAACGGTTTAAAAAAGCATGGAGACCTCTATAGCATTTTCCTGTAGGAACTTAGAGTTCCTCTAACTGTTGTACCACTATGAGATGGGCAGTCTTGTCTACTCAGGGAAGCTCCTGTTGGTCAGAGAACCTTGTCATGTGGTCCAGAGGAGTCAGTTCCTCTCTGTTTCATTCATATTCCCACCAGGACTTGTTCTTTAGTTTTAGGTCTAAGGACTAGCCGGAGAAAGTGAGGCACAAGACCTCAAACAATGTGAGTGAGCTGTATTCAGGCTGGCTTCATAATCTACATGAGATGTGATTTAAAAAAAAAGAAAGAAAGAAAGGAAGAAAGAAAGAAAGAAAGAATAGAGCTTGTTACTGAAAATGTGGAGCCATGGGCACCTCGACTGAATTTTGGCATCTCCACTTATTGGTGTGATGACCGAAGACTAGTTACTGAGCCTCTCTGTACCTCAGACTTCTGTCAACTTCTGTACCAGTCAACTGAGATGCATAATATCCACTTGTAATGACTGAGAAACATCAGAGAGGGATCAAAGCACCCACTGGGAGGACAGATATCACAACCAGCGATGGAAAGCCACCCAGAACAAAGCCAAGGAGGATTCACCATCTTCACCTGCCTTCTCTGTGTGCGTCTGCCTTCTTCTGGGGCCCCACTGGCTCTCTCTGCTGACCCCCTGCAGGTGGAATATGGCTGCCAAGAGCTCCCATGATAACCCCGCTGCATTGTCAACTACATGGGGAATCAACTCATCCTCCACTTGCTTATATTTTTTCATGCACACGCGCACACACACACACACACACACACACAAGTACTCCGCAAACAGGCCACCTTCTTCTGGGTAAAGAAGTCCAGACACGCCAAACTGATGGACCTGTGTTTCATTCAGCTCAAGCATTCTGACACTCTAGCCTGTCAACCTGTCAAACATATTCCAGACTACACTCTTTAAAGTAACTTTCGGGAAACAGAGCAGATGGCCTACTTTCTCAGCTTTTATAATCAAGCCTTGAACTTTTCCCAGGGGAGTAAACTAAGAGGGTGAGTTAGTTAGTTTATTGTGCCAATCTGGCTGATAAACACATGTGGGGTTAATTGAAGGGCGGAAGGATAAATGGCTCAGTGAGCCTCGCCTTTCTAGTTCTTGGGTCTCTTGCTTTCTGACGGTCGGACCAGGGTGCAGCTGCCTTAGCCAGTTCCCTGCTTCAGGTGGCAAGGCTCACTTCTTGCAAGACATCCCCGAGGAGAAGCCACATGGGCCTACCCCCATGCAGCCCTGGGTGCTGGAGCACCTGTGTGGAGACCCCTGCCAACGCTGAGATGCTTACACAGTTACTGACTCGGTTTTCCTCCTGCAGTCGGCATCATTGCGTCTGTTTTGTGAGATGGAAGAGGACTTCGTGGATTGGTATTGGATATATGGGCTAATGGGTTAATGTTGGACTTGTGGGTTTGCGCAGCACTGGGTTGGGATGTTTTCTTGATGCGCACTTAATCTTTATATAAAACTCTCTCTTATACATGAGTTTCTGTGGATTTGTTTCTTTAAAGAACCCAGACTAACACAGGGGGCTACCCCATTCGCCCCTGAGATGAGAACTGAATGGAATTTTCTATTTCTAAATGTGAGCTCCAGTCTTAACACCGGAGGATGTGTACCACCGACGGCACGTGTTCTGCAGGGATTATCCAAAGGGGAGAGTCAACAATGGAATGGGTGACGGACAATGAGGTTGTGAAACCTGCTAAGGACCTCTGACTTCAAAGGAGACTATAGTTTTTTATGTGTTTTGTTTTTGCTGAGATTTTCTGTTTGTTACTAAATGTGCCTCATTGTTTAGAGCTCTGACACATTTGGAGTTACTTCCATGTAATATGCAAAACAATGCAAATTAGCTCTGGTTCTTGGTCAGGGAAGTAACTAGAATCTGGAGGGGACTTAACTGTAAACTTATCTCTCTTCTACAGGTCAGGATTTAAGTTTACTCCCAAAAATGGGAGAACTCAACTTTGCGAATTTCAACTTTAAAGATTACTTTGAAGACTATAATGACAGTTACAGCACAGGTATGCCCGATTTTGGACCAGATGCAAGCCCATGCCAGCCAGGAGCACTTCAAATCAATAAGAATGCTGTGATCACCATCTATGCCCTGGTGTTTCTGCTGAGCCTGCTGGGAAATTCTCTGGTGATGCTGGTCATCATACACAACCGGGTCAGCTCCTCTGTCACAGATATCTACCTGCTGAACCTGGCCATGGCTGACCTGCTCTTTGCCCTGACGCTGCCCATTTGGGCTGCTTCCAAGAAGAACGGCTGGACTTTTGGCACACCCCTATGCAAGGCGGCCTCACTCGTGAGGGAAGTCAACTTCTACAGTGGGATCCTACTACTGGCCTGCATCAGTATGGACCGCTACCTGGCCATTGTCCACGCCACACGCACACTGATCCAGAAGCGCCACTTGGTCAAGTTCATCTGTCTGGCCATCTGGACACTGTCCCTGATTCTGTCCTTGCCCGTGGTCCTCTTCCGCAAGACCGTCCACCCATATTCATCCAGCCCAGTCTGCTATGAGGACATGGGTAACAATACAACAGAGGGGAGGCTGGTGCTCCGGTTCCTGATCCACATCGTTGGCTTCATGCTACCACTGCTGGTCATGCTGTTCTGCTACGGATTCACCCTGTGCACACTGTATAAGGCCCACATGGGGCAGAAGCACAGGGCCATGAGGGTCATCTTTGCCGTGGTCCTCATCTTCCTGCTCTGCTGGCTGCCCTACAACCTGGCTCTACTCACAGATACCCTCATGAGGATTGGGGTGATTCAAGAGACCTGTGCACGTCGACAGGACATTGACCATGCTCTGGTAGTCACTGAGATTCTAGGCTTCCTCCACAGCTGCCTCAACCCCATCATCTATGCTTTCATTGGTCAAAAGTTTCGACACAAACTCCTCAGGATCATGGCCAATCATGGCCTGATCAGCAAGGACTTCTTGGCCAAGGATGGGAGGCCTTCATTTGTTGCTTCCTCTTCTGGGAACACTTCTACAACCTTCTAGCACCTCTTGTTCCTCCTCCAGCCCCTTGGGTTCCTGCCTGACTGTTATCATCCTATCTCAGCCTCCTAGACAATGGCTGTTGACCATCTCTCAGCCACAGCAGCACACACCTGAGCAGAGGCAGCATCCATGCCAGGCCCCCATTTGATGGGTCAAGAACAACCTTGCTCTCGGTGCCCCATCCATAGGGCTCAGACCATCCTCTCCCTGGACCTACAGCACTCTGCTCACAGAGACATTTGGAAGACATTCTTTTAAGTGACTACAGGAAGTTCCCACCATTGGAAACCACTAATGGCCAACACCATTGGTTGCTTCCTTACATGCTATTTTTCCTACCCTTCTCTCTTGCCAGCAAAGCCTACCTTCTTTGGAGAGAGTTTGAAAATGGCAGATAATCACTTGCTAGGTCTCCCTTAAACTAAGCTAGCCATCTCATGCCATTCTGACTAATAAGACTTAAGGACAACAGTGTGCTGGCAAACCACCCCCACCCCCACCGGGGAAGAAAGCCTGATTTATAGCATGTGCCACTTTCCATATGGTCACTACTCCCACAATGATGATTCCATCAGGGGCTGTGATTACCAGCCAGGGGGCAAAGTTGCTGAAAATGTGATCATCTGAGGTCATGTGCAAGTTGGTCCCGTCCACCACTGTTTAAGGGGAAGCCTGGTGGTGTCAGGGGGCTCTTGGATTCAAAATAGAGCGAGACACTCTTAAGGAGAGTTTGAAAAATATTTTTACTGCCTTAGTTGCATCTCGACTCCCAGATTCTGACTATGGTTATAGGATATGATGTGTGAGGCCGGGTAGCCACTTAGTGAAAATGACGCCAGGAGCCAGCTAGGAGGTGAAGGTTACCAAAGGACAAAAAGCACCCGGGTCCAAAACAGGCAAACTTGAACCGCTGAGCCAGTCGTGGGTCCATGTGATTACAACTTCTTGTTAAATGAGATAATTCAATGGGGTTTTTTTTTTGTTTTTGTGTTGTAACGGATTTACTTGAGTTAAAATAATAAGTTGAAGTCCTAACTTTTGTCTGTGTGAATGCTAGCCTGTTTGGAAATCAAGGTCTTTGACACTGATGTTACCAGTTATGCTAACAGGAGATCATTCTGGAGTGGGGTCGGTCCTAAACAAATCGAATCTGGTGGTGGCTGTATCCAAGAGAAGATGCACAGAAAACAGAGACATCGGGGAGGATGCTTCCAGGTTAGCTGGCACCAGGAGAAGTTCAGAGAGAGAGAAATGAAGCAGACTTTCCTTCAAAGTCTCAGATGACTGGGACCTTGGTCTTTCACTCAGAGCCTCCAGAACTGTGAGCCAATAAATGTCTGTTCTTGTACCAGTTGGTGGCCTTTTGTCATGTCATGGGTAGGAAGTGAACACACACCTAAAGCACTTAGTTGACTGTGCATTTCCTTACAAGCGAAAGCAGCCAAACTTCAACAGAGAATTTGGACAAGGGTACGTAGAGACCCCAAGTGATGGTCCTTACAATAAGTAACTCCCCTTACTCTGTCGTGGGTCTCTGTGGAGAGACCAATCAGAATGGAGCCAGGGCTGACCTTTCCCTCCCCTCCCCTCTGGATCAAGCCTCCTGATGCTGACCACATAGCATGGAAGGAAATGTGCTCTGGGGTCACCTCGTGGTCCTCGTGTCATTGGGTCCCATAGGAACCAGGGGTCAAGAGCAGGGGCATTAGAAGGGCCAAGCACAATCACCAGACCAGCTGGATTGGGCAGCAGGAAGGCAGAGGGTTTCCCGATTCGCCCAGCAGCTCTTGCTTAGCGTCTCCTTTCCATCCCTCTCCCCCTAAACACGGACACGGCCATTGCTGGGGCTCTGAAGAAGGAGCACAGGTGCAGCCAGGGGACACGATCTGTCACCTGTTACCTAGAGGAAAGGGGAGGTTTGGAGTCAGTATGTGTTGAGGTCCTAATGTTCTGAGGGCAGGGCACAGAGTGGTGACCCCACAAAAGGGCAAGCACAGCCTTGTCTCAGAAGAGTCCTTGTCAGGAGCAGCTCTGGTTCTGCTAAGGAAAGGCGGTGAAGGAAATGGGACTCCACAGTTGCCAAGCGTTTACCAAGTTCTGATGCCCTTCATTTCCGCAACTATCTAGCCAGTCCATCAAAGAGAGGACCGTTAGCCAGGCCATGGCTAGGAAAAGAGGCCTCTCCAGGGAGGCAGGGACAAAATCCTGAGCTGGCAGGCTCCAGGTGGCAGGTAACACTCACTCATAACACAGAAAGTGCTTTGCCCTTTGCATTCAGCAAACCGCATTTCATCGGCGACAACAGCCCTGTGCTCTGTGCCCAGGGCTGGCCTAAGCTCAGGTTCAAGCAAGACTCAACGGCTGTGGCCAAGCCTTCAGCACAGCTTCTGACTCAGCAGGAGGAGAATGCAGGGAAACATGTATTCACCAAACATCAAGTTGTCAAAGGCACCAGGGACGTTCTGTCCAGGCAAGATAGATGGGCCAGATGGCTCTCTGAGATGAGTCTTAGAGGAAAGAAGTCTAATTAAGTCTCATTGGGGTCCCACGACTCTGTTCTTCCCCTTCTGCCCACGGCTGGGGAAACAGGGTTCTCCAAGGAAAATCAGAGGATACAATAAGCCCAGAAGAAAGGACACGGGAATGAGCTGCACGTCTATAGCCTCTGTTAGTATTGGTCCCTCTGTCTCTTTCTGCGATTTACTGTCTCTCTTTCCCCCCCCCCCACTTTTTTGTTATCATTTTATTAGGGGCTCATACAACTCTTATCACAATCCATACACACATCAATTGTGTAAAGCACATTTGTACATTCATTGCCCTCATCATTCTCAAAACATTTCCTCTCCACTTAAGCCTCCAGCATTAGGTCTTCATTTTTCCCCTCCCTCCCTGCTCCCCCCTCCCTCATGAGCCCTTGATAATCCATAAATCATTAAGTGGGTGAAGGGAGACGTCGGACAGGGAAAGATATGATTTACTGTCTCTTAAAAGGACAGTTGAAGCACCAATAAGTTGCCAACCGGACCGTCACCAAGACAGAGCACACCTAGCACCTGCCTTTGAGTTGTGGATTTAGTTCTTCCCTCTGCTCTTTCCCAGTCTGAGTCCTGCCCTCTCAGGTCTCGCTACTTTCTGCCTCAACCGCCTGCTCAGTCTGAGCTGGTTTCTCTTGTCTCCCAAGATAGTTTCCTCTGAAACCAATTGTTGTCAGTTCAGACTCATGGCCACCAGGTTTGTGTCACAAATAGATCCGTGCACCATGGGGTTTCCAATGGATGTTTCCAGAAGTTGCCCTTCTTCCTCTACATGTGGGAGGCAGGATTCACTAGCTTCAAAAGAAGGTCTTCTCATCTGCCTCCGGCAGGAGCCCAGCTGGTGTAGTGGGTTACAAGTTGGGCTGCCGAACCACAGTGAGCGGTTCGAAACCACCAACTACTCCATGGGAGAAAGAGGAGGCTTTCTGCTTCGACAAAGATTTCCAGTCTGGGAAACCTGCAGGGGCAGTTCTACTCTGCCCTATGGGCTTGCTGTGTGTGATGAATGAGATGGGTTGGGTCTGGGGACTGTACAGAGAAGGAGTCTGCCTGGTGTATCACGGGGTCAGTAACAGGAGGGAACTGCTACTTTCCAAGAAGGTCAAGCTGAGGGAGCCCTTTAAGGCGCCCAGAGAGAGAGATGAAGAGTTTTATTGTGACATGAGCCAGCACCAACAGGGACAGAGCTATGGGATGAAGACCCTGACTTTAAACTCCTCCTTCCCACCAATATCCTACTAGGATCTCCATTGGCTGAACTCAATCCACTCTCCTACCAGGGTCTCTGTTGGAGGAGCTCAGGGCCCCCACTGACCGACCTCAGATATCAGAGCACAGGGTGTCTTCTGAGAGAGGACATGTAGGTCAGCATCCCAGAGGGAGGTAGAGAAAAGCAGCAAGTGAACTTGGAGGAGAAAGGGGAAGCTACTCAACTCACCCCTCCCCCACAAGAGCTTAAGGTGAAGGTCCGTGAGAGTGTCTCAGGCCTCCGGAATCTGAGTGAGTGAGGTTGGGCTGTGGGAAACTGGAGCACCCGATGACTGATCAAGCTGCAAGTTTAAAGGGCACTGACCCAGAAACTGGAAGCAGTGCTGTGGAACTGCCCAAACCGGAGATGAGAAATGATGGCTTGGGGTTAGAGTTGTGTGTGAGCGTGACTCTTCCCTGACAGGGATGCAGCCTGCTTCCTTTCTCTCCCCGCATTGGCAAGCCATCTGCAAGACCCCAACTCCTGCTGACCAGCCCTGGCCCAGAAGGAAGGTGGCCTTACGTTGGCTCCTTCTCCTGCCCATTGCATCTGCCTGAAGCAGAAGAGTCAGAGGAGGGAAGGGGGCGTGGGGGGGGGGGACACATCACTGCCCCAACTCAAGGCCCCTCCCCCAACGGCTTCAGAGACGTGCAAAAGGCACCTTTGTGCCAAAAACAAGACACAGACCACTGATTGCACAACAGATCCCTGCAAAGTCTGACATCATAGGTGTTCAGCTTCTCATCAAAGCTTCCTCTGAGCCAAGCTGACTCAGAGGCAGGGCCAAACTGCGATTCTCATATGGGGACTTGTCTCCTGTTTGTTTGTTTCTCTATGTCCCCCAATAATACCAACTAGTATTTCTAGAAGGACTTCTAATGGCACAATGGTTAAGGGCTCAGCTGTTCATCAAAAGTCAGCTGTTTGAGGGCACTAACCCACCCAAGAGGAGGGAATTGTTTATATCTGCACAGGAGAGGGAGAGAGGGACCAGTCTTTAACCCGGCAGACGTGAATGCAACATACTGGCACGAAGCAGAGACCCAACAGACAGGTCTGTGGGGCCAGCCCCAATCCCAACTCGTGTTACCCCCCCAAACCTCCCCCAGAAGAATGCACTTCAGAGGACACCACTGAAGCTATAGTTCAGGGAGAGGGGCGCTGCTGATCAGGAGTAAATGAAAAGGGAAGGAGAGAGAATGGAACACATCCTG